CCGCGAACGCCCGGGCGCGCGCTGTGTGTAGAACCCCTTTGCAACAGGAAAGGGGTTTCAGTGCACGCGCGCGCGTCGTCGCGCGCGCGTGGCGAAATCTCCCAAGCACACCAGGTATCGCAAGGATTTCTAAACCGAGCGTCCCGACAACATTTACAACCACATGGTTTTGCAACATCAGTGGTCAACAGAACCTGCGCTTGCGCCCTTGTGAATTCCGATGGAAACCATAGTTGTTTGAACATGTCCATTACATTTGGCCAAACGGGCCTCCCGCGCCCCTTGTCGAAGTCATTCGAACGCCCTCGCACGCGTGCTCTGGGGCGGCACGATCAGTACCAACTAATACCAGGCGGCCACTCTCGCGCGCCGGCCGCGCGCGCATGTCGAACTCCTTCCCAAGCCTTCATCACCGACGCGAGGACGCCGTCATCGTCGTCGGCGTGATCAGCATCGGCGCCGTCACTGGCCGTGCCGACGTCGCTGTCAGCATCGTCGCCAGCATCGAAGTTATCATCAGCGTGTCGGCCGTTGTCGGCGTTGCCATGATTCCGCGCCCGCCCAAGCCGCCGACTCGCATTGAAGTGCCCGCGGCCGCGCCGGTCGCGCCGAAATAGCTGGCCGCTGCGCGCGCGAGAGTGCGCGGGTTGGCGCGGCCGCAGAGATGCACCAGCCAACGCCAAACACTCATCGCAATCGCCGCAGCATGAGTTTTGCAAACCAAGTTGTGGGTAGGTGGGTGGGATGTTTGCTCGACTTGTGGAATTCACAATTCACGGCGAACAAAAGTTATGTGCACCGCGTAGATTGCTCCACCCAGGTTGCACAAGCGATGCCGCTAGAAGCGCAATGTTTGGGGTCCGCGCAGGAGAGAATGCACATGTATGTAATCATGCTCATATGTATGTATACATGCACACACGCGCGCACACACACGTGTCCAGTTGCCTGCGGCAAACCCCGCCGCAGCGCCCATGCAACAACACAGCAGGAAGCAGGCTGACTGTATGAACGGCGCAATTCTGACGAGCGGTCAGAAGTTGGACGGGTCGTGAATTCGACGTCGCTTTCGTCCGCGCGGTGCGGGGGGAGAGGTCGACTTCACGCCTCGCTCCAGTTCAGCGGGCGGTTTGAACTGAGGCGGGGACGGGATTCGGCTTCGTCTTCGCCCACGTGGTAGGGAGTATTTGGAGGACCAATGTACGCCCAAGACGCATCAAATATGTTGCAGCAGGCCCTCTCCCCAAGCTCGTCCTCTATAGGGCCAGACGGGAACGCACGTATGCGCAATTCGGGGAACGCCCCAATGGAAGACAATCGTCAGGGCACTTTCATCCATGCCACAACACAACGCCGTGAATAAACGTGACTGCTGCGTCCGGGCAATCCTAAACCGGACCAGAACGCCAGTTCCAGGGATTTCAACATCGCGCACCAGCGTAACCATTACGCCCTGACGGTCTTGAATCACACCCGAACGCCTCACTTGGCACTCCAAACGTGTGAACCGTTGTTCAATGGCTGCGCATGTCTAGGACGAGCGCGCGCAGCGCTAAAGGCGAGAGCCAGCGCTTGAACAAGAATCGTCGGCCAGCCGTGAAGCGGCTGCACACTTTTAAAGCGAGTGCGCGCGGCGCTTTGGCGAGAGTAACATGTTGAGCTCGCGCAACCCTCCATCTTCGAAACGGCTGCACACTCTGAAGACGAAGACGGATGTGCGCGGCACTGAGGCGAGAGCCGCGCCTCGCAGACGGACCGCACGCCATGTTCGAGATCGGTGCAGATTTCGAAGGCGAGCGCAAGGGATGCGAATGCAAGCGCCACGGTTTGAACACAGACCGCCCTCCACCTGGAGCAAGAGTCACATGGTGTGCGCCATTGGCCCTCCATCTCTGAAACTGCTGCAGCATTCAAACTTCAGAGTCATAAGTGGCGAGGAAGTCTCAGGCGAAACGCCCAGCCCGCCCTATCGACGCGTTTGGGGGCGCGACAGGCAGGAGTTGCATGTGGACAAGGGATGGCGGAGAGGGTGGAGGAGGAGGGAGCGAACAACCTCGGCAGCGGTTCGGCGGAAGCGTCAAAGAGCTGGTGTGGTAGACGCTTGTCAGCGTCCTTTAGTGCTGCTGGTGCAACTCAAGACGAGATGGCAGGAGCGCATGAGGGAACCGCGTGGTCCACAAAGACCTGGGCCCCTAGCCCTAGGCCTTCTCAGAGCCTCCGGATTTCTAGGGACCAGAAGGGGCGAAGTACCGTGGTTCCTCCCCATTGACTTTCTGCCGGTTCGTAAATAGTTACCTGCATTATTGTCGTAGGGGCGCATTATGCATGCGCGTCACGTGCTCATATTACTTATGAGTGTGCACATACATGTACCGGTCACGCTTCTTGGCAGGCGCGTGTTACTCCACAGCAAAAACTTTGTGTACAACACTGTCATTAACTGTTTCAGCGATTCTCTGGCACATGAAAAAAGGAGTCATTCTGGTAGGTGATTGTGCAGCCTGTCTCTTCTATGAGGGATGAGGAGGAGGAGGAGGAGGAGGAGGAGGAGGAGGAGGAGGAGGAGGAGGACGAGGGGGAGGAGGAGGAGGAGGAGGAGGAGGAGGAGGAGGAGGAGGAGGAGGAGGAGGAGAAACCAAAGACGAGGAGGGAAAGGCCTCTTATAATGTTCACTGTGAGCTTCCTGTGAGTCTGCTGGGGGCCTCTTCGGGGTTTCTTGAGGCCTTTGGGGGGCCTCGTGCGGCTTCTGAGGCAGTCTGGGGGGGCTCTTGGCCAGTCTCACACCCTCGGCGGCTGTCTTGGCGGGCCCTCTGGGCCGTCTTGGTGCCCTCCTGGAGCGTTTCATGACAGTGTTAAGGACATGTTGGGAGGCTCTTGGGCGATCCTGGGTCCTCTTAGGCCGTCTTGGGACCGTTGGGCGAGGGGGTCTCACCAGGTCTCATAGGCCGCCCTTGGCGGTCGCAAAACCAAGCAGGCGAGAACTTCAAAGCCATTAAACCATAATCTGAAACTCGATGTCTGTTCGACTCCTCGGATGCCCCTTTTCGGATGCAACTCCTGGGAGGTCAAATTCTGATTTTGCCCTGGTCCGAAATCCGGCTGAATCCAGCTCAATCCCGTTGAATCCCGCTTAATCTCGTTTAATCCAGTTTGATCCCGCTTAATCCCCAATGGGGGTTAGTCCTTTTCAATCTTTCCGGCCGAAGCTTCCCAGTAGTTGCCTCCTAACCTCTTGGGGCCTGTCGGGGGCCTCTCGTGGTGTATGGGGCCATCGCAGGGGGGCTCTTCACCCATCTGGCGCCTGTGGCAGCCATCTTGGGGGGCCTTCCTGGGCCGTCTCAGTGCCCTCTTGGAGCGCGCTGCGGGCCGTCTTACAGTGGAGACCCATGCCAAGGAACGCCCTGCGTGCCTCCAGGGTTGCCTGGGTTTCTCGGGTTTCGATGGTTTTGCGATGGAGATCGCGACGCTCCCACACCAAAAATGAATGGACGTCCTGGGGTCTCAGGGTTGGGGTTCTTGTGGAAGGTTTCTTGCGGACTAGCCTCCACTGTATGATGCTCTTGGGCGATCGTGGTGTCCTCTTGGGCCGACTTTGGTCCCTCTTTGGGGGCCGCATGGGCTGTCTTGGAGCTATCTTGAATGCCTCTTGGACCGTCTAGGTCGGTCGGAAACCCAACCAGGCGAGAACCTCAAAATCATTGAAACACAGTCGATTAATTAATCTGGTTCGCGTCCTCGTCTGCCACTTGGGGACTCTTGGTGAACTTCTGGGCCGTCCTCTTGGCGCGTCCCATACATTCGGAGGCCGTCTTGGGTCTTGGGAGGCCTTTCTGGGCAATATTGGTGCCCTCTTGGGGCGCTTTGGGGCCCTCTTGGCAGGAAACCAAAAACGGGTGAGAACTTGAAAAGCATTGACCACCTTAAGGAACATCAATGTGGGTTGCCTTCTCGGGCTCTTCTGTATAGCCTCTTGGACCTCTTCTGGGCCGTCTTGGAAGCCCCTAGAGCCGTCTTGAGGCCACTTGGGAGTCTCTGGTAACGTCCTGTGCCATCTTGGGCCATCCGCCTGTCATCTTGGCTGTCTTGGAAGCCATCCTGAAGGCCAAGATGGCCTCCTGAAGGCCGAAGCAAGCGCTGGTGAGCAACTCCAGAACGGCCGATCTTATAAAGATTCGTGCGAGGAGAGGGGGGGGCGGCCCTAGAAAACAGAATACAACATTTCAGAGCAACAAGCGAGCATTCTAATACGCACACTCCCTAAAGGCACGATGGCGGGTTCATTCTTTCGTGGGCCCCAAAGAGCAGTTCCAATGTATTTACCGCGGACCCCAAAGAGCGACTTCTTGCAATATATAGGTATTGCAATCAATATAGTGCAATCGATGTGGCACAAAGCAAAGGAAAAATGCAATGACATGTAAAGCTCTGCGAATCAAAACAAAGCAGTAGCCCAAAGCAAGGCACAGGAATGCAAAGCAGTGAAAAGCAATGCAAAGCAGTGCAAGGCAAAGCAAAGCAATGCAATGAAAACCAGAACACTGCGATTGCAACTCAGCGCGATTGCAACGCAACGACGCAAAGCAACGCAAGTTAACGCAAAGCAGAGCAAAGCAATGCAGAGCCATACGAAGCAATGCAAAAGGGGGCGGCGGCGGGCGGCGACTAGGCGGCGACGGCGCCACATGGCGGCCAGAGCGGACCGCAGACCCAGGCGATGGGCGGCGACGAGGCGGCGACGGGGCTGCGACGGCGACCACGTAGCCGCCAAACCGGCGCCCAGGCCCAAACGACGGGAGCCGACGAGGCGGCGAGGGGGCGGCGACGGCGGCGACCACATAGCCGACAGACCGGCGCCCAGGCCCAGTTCCTTGGAAGAGAAGTACAAATCCATCAGTGCAAGTGTTTTTTGGAGCATCTGTATATGTCGATGTATATGTGTATGTATATGTTTGCGTATGTATACATCTGTACAGCTAACGTCGATGGAATTCTCTTGCGAGGTGGACGCCATCGGCGGCTCGCGGGGCGGCGACGAGGGGAACAGCGACAGCGAGGCCCTTGGAGGGGGGGGGAGCGGCGGGCAAGCGCGCCCGCGGCGCGTGCGAGGGCTCTCCGCCGGGGGAGGAGGAGGAGGAGGAGGAGGGGGAGGAGGAGGAGGAGGAGGAGGAGGAGGAGGAGGAGGAGGAGGAGGACGAGGTGGAGGAGGAGGAGGAGGAGGAGGAGGAGGAGGAATAGGAGGAGGGGGGGAGATTGAGGAGGATGGATGAGGACGAGGAGGAGGAGGGGAAGGAGATGAAGGGGGAAGAGGAGGAGCAGGAAGAGAAGGAGGAGGAGGAGGAGGAGGCGGAGGAGGCGGAGGAGGAGGCGGAGGAGGCGGAAAAGGCGGAGGAGGAGGAGGAGGCAGAGGAGGAGGAGGAGGAGGAGGAGGAGGAGGAGGAGGAGGAGGAGGAGGAGGGGGATTGAATGGATGGTAGAGGAAAAGGAGGAGGATGGTCAGGGAAGATAACGAGGAGTAGGGGGGAGGAGCCTTGGCTGGGGCTCACGGTGGGACGCGCGCCTGCAAAGCGTGCGGAGGCACTTCTCCAGAGGCGTAGGGGAGGTGATTTCGAAAATGCTAGGCAGGAGGCCAAGATTTTGGACGGCTTGCTTGTTTCAATCCTGGCGTGCTTCCTCAGCGTCAGTGTCATACCCAGATCCAAAACGCTTCGTTTGTTCCTAAACAACTTGTCTTTAAGTGCTGTTTTTGTTCAGTGTGTTTCTCTTTTTATGCTTGTTCCCCTCTCTCCCTCTCAACATATGATATATACATACGTACATACACGTTTTCATGCGTGTTCTTTCAAAATCCAGTCAGGGAGCCAAGGCCCCGTCGGTGGTCTTTCGTGGCCCGCGTCCGTGGCCCCAAAGGACCCCCATTGCCCCAGGAACTGTCAGGAGTTATCTGGCGAGATTCACATGTTGAAAGGGAGCTATCCTCCATCTGTGTAGCCGTTGCACAAGCTTTCACATGGGGTCATGGGCATCGATTCCGAGCACGTATCTATCAAAAACCGCATGTTCAAAAAGAAACGAACCCCAATCTAGTAATTGCTCGAATTCCTTAAAATCAGTGCACGCATGGCGCAGAGGTGAAAACTGCATTGTGAAGACTGGCCGCCGCCCGACCAGGCAAATGTTGGACGGGTTTTAGACGAATGCACGCGGCGTGATAACGATATCCTCAAGTTTGAAGTTGAGCCACCCTCTGTCATTGTAACGCTGAATGTGCGCGGCGACAAAGCAAGCTACATTTTTTAAGAACGATGTAACCTCAATGCGTGTGGCTGGTGGAAGCTGACCGCCCGGCACGCCCAGTGGCGCGAATGGGGGACAGTTTCTTTTTAAGGAAGATGAATGGGGGAGGCGGGGGAGGAGGAGGAGAAGGCTCCCCCACCCCTCCCTCCTCCCTCCTTTCACTCATCCTCCGAGTCCGTCCTCCCTTCTGCCGGCGCCACCGCGAGCCCCCAGGGAGAGAGCAGATGACAGTTGGCTGCTTGGGGCGCTTGGTTCGAGCAGGCGGAGCCTCCCCCATGACGCACTGCACTGCTGCAAACACAGTCGCACCCAGCAGAGGTCTGGAGCCAGACCCCCACCCCTTCCGCCCAAAGTCGAGACGCCGAATAAGAAAACGTTCACCATCAGACTGGACCGCCGTGCGAGCCACCTGTTGGAGTCATTGCTTGCGTCTTAGGGCCGGCTCTTGTTGGAGCCCCTCTCGGCCATGGGCACGGGAGGCCCGCGAGACCGCATCCGTATGCCTACCTGCCAGTACGGCTGCTGGCGCTCTTCGTCTTCTTCCTTCCTCGTGTTCTCCTCTTGCTGCCGTCGTCCTGTTCACGTGCTCCTCATCCTTGTCCTTTTCTTCGCTTTCGCCAGTTCGTTTCCTCCTCATCCGAAGAAGAACCAACTGCATGAACATCCACTTTGGTAGCTCCGCGCGGACCTCTTGGACCTGGGCCGGGCCCCGGGGGCGGCGCCTCCAGCGCCGATCCGAGGCATCCGCGCTGACCTTCGACCGTTGAAGCCTAGGCAGTTCTTTCTTCTTCTACTTCTCCTCCCCATGCTGCTTTCCGATTCGCTTCCAAAGGGCGGAGGAGGAGGAGGCGGAGGAGAAGGAGGACCTTCGACTGTTGAAGTTTGGAGTTTCTGCAGCTCTCTCTTCTTCTGCCTCTCCTCCCCCGATGCTGTTTCCCTCTTCGCTTCCAGAGCTGCATCGGCAGAGCTGCGCCACGGGCCGGTGCGGGGGGTGGAGCGGGGGCGCGTGCGCTCTGCCCGCTGCTCGAGGTGCAGCGGACGATGCTGGAGATCGTCAACCAGCTGGACGGCTTCGAGGCGCGAGAGAGGGCTGCGCAGCAAAGAGGAGCATCGGGAGGAGAGGAAGGCAGGAGAGGAGAAAGGGGAGAGAAGGAGGAGAAGGAGGAGAACGAGGAGGAGGAGAAGGAGGAACAAGAGGAGAAACGTCACGTGGAGGAGGATGAAGCGGGAGGAGGAGGAGGCGGAGGAGGAGAGCAGGAGAGCAGGAACAATATTGGGTTCAGGGGGAGGAGGACGGATGGGGGGGAGGGAGGGAGGAAGAAGAGAAACGAGAAGGAGCAGACGGAGGAGGAGGAGGAGGAGGAAGGACACGGGGGGAGGGGAGGAGGAGGAGTAGGAGGAGGAGCAGGAGGAGCAGGAGGGCGGGGAGGTTGAGGAGGAGGAAGAGGAGGAGCAGGGGCATAATGAGGGAGGATGTTTAGGAGGAGGAGGAGGAGGAAGATGAGGAGGAGGTGGGGTAGGAGGAGGCGTTGAGGTAGTTTCTTTACCCAGTCCCCAATTGGATCCCTTCCCCGCTGTCCCCCCCCCATCCCCCCTATGTGTAGGTTCCACACCGTGGGAGACGTTAGTACAATGGTTGAGCAGTCTGAAATGCGAATAGGAGGAGGAGGAGGAGGAGGAGGAGGAGGAAAAGATGGTGATCGTGCTGGTGCTGGCGATGTTGCTGCTGATGGTGAAGATGACGATGGTGATTCTGATGCTGATGCTGATATTGATTATGCTAATGACGATGATGCAGATGACGATGACGTGGAGGATCATGCTGATGATGATGATGATGATGATGATGATGATGATGATGATGATGATGATGATGCAGAGGATGAAAACGATGCTGCTGATTGTGATGATGATGCTGATTGCGATGCTGATGTTGCTGAAAATGCTGTTGATGATGCTGCTGATGATGCTGCTGATGATGATGAGGTTGTCGATGTTGCTGATGATGATAATGATGATGCTGCTGATGATGATCATGCTACTGACGATGGTGATGACGATGGTGATGATGCTGATGAAGATAGTGACTGTGTTCATGGGGATGGTGGTGGTGATGACGATGGTGATGGTGGTGGTGGTGATGAAGCTGATCAGGATAATGGTGTGGATGAGTGCGCTGATGATGATGATGATGATGATGATGATGATGATGACGATGCTGATAATGATGATGATGATGCTGATGATGATGATGCTGATGATGATGATGGCGACGATGTGGATGATCCTGATTATGATGATGATGCTGATAAAGAAGATGATGAACCTGATGGTTGTGATGGTGCTGCTGCTGATGATGATGGTTGTGATGACGATGAAGAGGATGATCATCATGATGATGACCGTGATGATGATGACGATGATGATGATGATGATGATGATGATGATGATGATGATGATGATGAAGTCGATGATGATGATGATGGTGATGATGGTGGTGGTGGTGATGATAAGAATAGCGATGGTGGTGATGATGCTGCTGCTGGTGATGATGATGTTGGTTACGATGACGGTGATGGTGATCGTGGTGCTGATAATGATTCTTCTGCTGCTGCTGCTGCTGCTGCTGCTGCTGCTGCTGCTGCTGCTGCGCGCCGCCGTTGGCGAGCGCGGTGGGGGGATGCCTCGCGAGGCGCTCGCAAGCAAGGACGGCTGGGCAGAGGAATGGCAGACGCTGGTGGTAAGCTCTCCTCCCCTCCTCCTCCACCTCCACCTCCATTCCTTTCTCCTCTTCCATCCCTCCTCCTCCTCATCCTCCTCCTTCTCCTCCGCTTTCTCCCTCTCCCATTTTCCCCCCACCTCCCACTCCTCCCTGAGGGCTGGGCAAGGCTGGGCAGAGGAAGGCGACGGGCTCAGCGCGGCGAGCGCAGTGGGGGGATGCCGTGCGAGGGCGCCTGCAAGTAAGGAGGATTCAACAACAGAGGACGGCGGAAGGCTTAGCGCGGCGAGCGCGGTGTGGGGATGTCGTGCGAGGGCGCTCGCAAGCAAGGCAGGTTGAGCAGAGGAAGGCAGCTGGGCGGGAGGGAGGGAGAAGGAATAAGGCGTGCAGCGTGGAGGAGGAGTGGAGTAGTGCAGACAGGAGAAGGACGGGGAGGGACAGGAGGCCCGCTCCTCCTTACAGCACGGCGCCTCCCCGACCGCGCGCGTTGCTTCGTGCTTCCACATCACAGATCACGCATTGCATCCAGGACGGCGACGATCACGACGTTGATGGCGATGGCGGCGACGACGACGTCGACGACGACGACACGGAAGAGGGCGGCGACGTTGATGGCGACGGCGAGGGGGACGACGACGTCGACGGCAACGGCCGTGGCGACGGCGACGGCGACGGTGGCGGCGGCGGCGGCGACTGCGGCGACGACGACGGCGTTGACGACGACGACGACGGCGACGCAGACGGCGTGAAACGACGGCGGCGACGATGGCGGCGACGACGGCGGCGGTAGCGACGGCAAATGGTGGCTGCGAGGCGCGGGGCAACGTGAAGATCCTCATGGCCACCAACCGACCGGACACCCTCGACCCGGCCTTGCTCCGGCCTGGCCGCCTCGACAGGAAGATCGAGTTCGGGCTGCCGGAGATCTTCCCTGCCGTCGTCGCCCGCCCTCCTCCTTCTCACTCTCCTCACTTTTCCTCCTCCTCCTCCTCCTCCTCCTGCTCCTCCTCCTCCTTCTCTTTGTCTGTCTCCTTCTACTGCTTCTCTTTGGCTGTATCTTTTTTCTACTCCTTACGCTGACACTCCCCCTCCTCCTCCGTAGCCATGTCAAGCTGAAGTCTTTCAAGTCAGGCCCATCGCTCATGTCGCTCCGCCGCCGGTTTGCTGTGCTGCTGCGCGGCGGGGTGCAAGACCTTAATCTCGTTCGGCTTGGGGACGGCTGCGAGCGGGTTCCAAAGTTGGATCCTTAGGACGCGATCGCAGAGAAGTGAGGCGGCGCGGCGTGCGCAGGAGGCCACCGATGCCGCTATTCGTGACCCCACTGCCAGGGCCAACATCCTCGTGGGGCGGCTGGAGATGGCGGAGACGGCCCTGGACGACGTCGTCGACGATTCGGACCTGGCGGAAGGGCGCCAGGCGCTCCCTCTGGCCCTGCGGGGATTGACCGCAGGTCAAGCACGCCCACTCCAAGGCCCCGAGCCCCCACACTGGCATCACTCCCGCCGACCGACCGACCGTTCACCTCCCGTGATATGATCCAGCCCCGACGGAGACAGTGGGAGCAAGAGCCCTCGTGGACCGAACACTTTCTTCGTAACGTCGCTCTCCACGCCGCTGCTCCTGGCCTGCGCGGGCCGCTCCCTTCGACGGGCGCTCCGCGGCTCCGCAGCGCTCCGCAGGGACCGCGGCTGGACGGCCCGCGCCAGGGAGCGCGGGAGGGCCGGGCCCAGCGCAGCCGCTTGCTGAAGGCGGCGTCCCCGCGCTGCGGGATGAGCTGCCTCGGCGATCTCCACCTGCGCCGCCTGCGCCACGAAGGGGGGGGCCCCACGACCTGCCGTGCAGGGCTCGGGCCCTCCTCGGCGCCGAGAAGCGCGGCCGCCGGAGCAGGGGCCGCAGTCTCGCCCGCCACTGGCGGGGGGGGGGGGGCACCAGCGAACGGCTTGGCCTCGTCAGCCTCCCGATGCTGCGCCAGGCCGAGGAGGCTGCCCCCTCGAGTGAATGCTTGCCAGGCCTCGCGAAGAGTTGCCGCTGCCCTGCTGCTCTTGAGAGCTCCGCTGGCTCTGGGCGCCCCGCTGTCGAGGTCGACACACGGCGTGGACTTGATCACGACATGTCGTGCAGACGTGCGACGCAGTTGGATCGGGGTCGAATGCGCAGCTGGCTCGCGGCGGCCCTCGCCTCGGGCACTCCGCGCAGCTCGGGCTCGAGCGCAAGGAGTTGGACCCCGTGGGCACCCGATCCTGAGGACCCCCGCGGGTTTCGGACGACCTCCCTGACCTCCACGACAGCCGCCGCAAAACAAAGGAAGGCGGATTTGGAAGTGCGCTGTGCTCGGCGTCCCTCGCCCTGCTTCGTGCACGCAGGTTGCCTGCATGGCCTGCCGTCGTCGGGGTCGTCAGAACGGGGTCGTCTGCTCCGATACTGGCGCGTAAGCTGCCCGCGTAAGCTCGCGCGTAGGCGCCCTCGTCTCCCAAGCAGCGTGCCCGGTTGGGGTGCAGGCACTTCGCCTGCCTCCTCGTCCTCCTCTTCCCTCTCCGCCTCCTTCTCCGATGGAGTTGTGTTCTACCGCGCTGTCTGCTCTTGGGTTGAGCTCTCGAGAAGTGAAGCAGCGCGGGCCGCGGCTGCTCCTCGGAGAGCCACGAGAGAGCCTTCTCCGATGGAGTGTTCTGCCGCGCTGTCTGCTCTTGGGCTGAGCTCTCGAGACGAAGTGGAGGGGGGCTGGCAGGCGCGAGCCTGCGGCGCGGGCCGCGGCTGCCTCTCGGAGAGCCACGGGAGAGCACGACCCACAAGGCGACGGTCATTTTTTTTTGGGGGGGGGGCGCGGGGTAACCTCTCGGCAGTCCCCGCAGGCGCGAGCTTGAAGCGCGTGCCGCGGCTGCTTCTCGGAGAGCTACAGGAGAGCCCGACCCACAAGGCGATGTATTTTTTTGGGGGGGGGGGACGGGGTATCCTCTCGGTGGGCCCCGCATGGGATGGCGCCCTGCGTGCGGGGAGCAACAAGTTCCCTTCGAATGGAGGCCCCTGTCCCGTTTTCCTGTTGGCCCCCCTTGACTCTTTCCTTCTACGGGCCGTGAATTTCCTCCTCTTCCTCCTCCTCCTCCTCCTCCTCCTCCTCCTCATCCCCCTCCCCCTCCTCCTCCTCCTCCTCCTCCTCCTTCTCCTCCCCCTCCTCCTCCTCCTCTCCTCCTCCTCCTCCTCCTCCCCTCCTCCTCCTTGTCTTCCTCCTTGTCCTCCTCCTCCTCCCCCTCCTCCTCCTCCTCCTCCTCCTCCTCCTGCTCCTCCTCCTCCTGCTCCTCCTTCTCCTCCTCCTCCTCTCCCCACCCCCCTCTTGGGGCCCCAGGACCTCGATGGCCGGACTCACATCTTCAAGATCAAGGCGAAGACGATGGCCATGGACCGGGACATCCGGTACGAGCTCTTGGCCCGCCTGTGCCCGAACACCACTGGCGCCGAGCTGACGAGCGTGTGCACCGAGGCCCATACGCGCGCCAGCCTCCCCCTTCTTCCTCTTCCCCCTCCTCCTACTTATCCCTATCTACCCTCCTACGCCTGCCCCTCTTGCTCCACCTCCTCCTCCTCCTCCTTCTCCTCCTCCTCCTCCTCCTCCTCCTCATCATCATCATACTCCTACTCCTACTGCTGCTCCTCCTCCTCCTCCTCGTCCTCCTGCGCCTCCTCCTCCTCCTCCTCCTCCACCTCCTCCTCCTCCTCATCCTCATCCTCATCCTCCTCCTTCTCCCCCTAGGACAGGAACCCGAGGTGGGGATTGATCCAGAACCACCACCTGGGTGAGCGTGGATCTGGATGGACTTCGGGGGGGGGATACACCATTCCCATGTCCTGTCGTTTCTTTCGTCGTCGATCCTCCCTCCTTCCCTTCCTCTCCCCTGCTGTGTCACCCTCGAATGCCGCGTCATCCACCGTGGACAGAAGAGGCGCGCCGCCCCTGTTCTTGTCTTTCTCCTGCCTCACAGGGGCAGTCAGAGGCAGTACGAGCCAGAACACAGACGTTCGTCTCATGCCAGCATCCAACCACCATCTGCCGCTCAACTTTCTCGGCCTCCGTCCCTCCCTCCTCGCCTGCGTCGTCCTCCTCCTCATCCTCCTCATCTTCCTCCTCATCCTCCTCCTCCTTCGTCGAGTGTCACCCAATATATGTTTCACGCCACAGTGCTCCATTTCCCATCCAGGGGCACTGCCGGGGAGCAGGACCCGCACCGCCTCCCTGCGGGTCGAAATCCTGGTCTCCTCCTCCTCCCCCTCCTCCTCCTTTCTTCCTCCTCCTCCTCCTCCTCCTCCTCCTCTCGAAACTCGGATGTCCACGCGGATTGCCTGGGTCGGCGTCGGACCCCCCCATGGCGGCGCCTCCAGCCCCACTCCGCTGGCCCTGGCGCGCTCCAGGCGCGGGGGAAGGGGGGCCCCAGCGCCGATCCAGGAAGTCCACGCCGTCCTCAGAAAGTGAAGCTGTTGTGTAGTTGCCTCTTCTATCACCGTCATCATCACAAACTCGATCTGCATCACTATCACACGTTCGATCCCCCTCAATAACACCTCTTGCATGTTGTTGTTTCAGGTTCGCTGCTTCTCGTGGCTGGTTCTGATGGTTCTCGCCGCAATCGGCGGCTGGCGCTTTTGGCCCTTTCTGTGCTGGGGGCCATTGGAGAGCTCCAGAGAGTTGCCCTTCGGAAAACTCCCCTGGGGTCTCTAGATGTCTCCCCCAGAGGTCTTCGGAGAATGTCGGAGGTTCTGTGGGGGTCCGTGGGCTCGTAAGCTCGAGGCGTCGCGATAATAATATAGACGCGATCTGCAGAAGGGCGCGTGCATGTGCGACCGAAGCGTTGGGCGCAGCGCTCCAGAAGCGCGTTTCATAGTGTGTTAGTGTGCCTGGCACGCCTCACAACGCCGTGGCAGGCGTCCGCAAGGAAGAGTTTGCGCGGATTGTAGTGTCCTCTCCCTAGGTAAAACGCTGTTCCAGGATGCGTTTTGCGCCTCAGCTCTTTGCTTCGATTTCGGAGCGTTCGTGTAAGGGACTGGATGTCGAGTACTCTCGGCTTCCCTTTTGAGTTGTTCGCTTCTTGGCATTCTGTGTCGAGCCCTTCGAGAACGCGGACCAGGTAACACATCAACTTCATGCAATCATTAAGACACAGTAGGTTACTTAGGGCGCGCATTCTTTAATGATAAATGAGGTGTTCGGCAGTTAGCGTTACCGTTCGTCAGCATGTGAATATTCGCCTTTTCCAGTAGAGGTGATGTGACTTTTGAAGGCTAGTCGATATAACATTACATACACTTGGTGATGTATTTAATGGCGCTACGGAAAAATTGTGGTGCAGTTGTTGTCGTTTGTGTTGTTTCTCTCTCTCTCTCTTTCTCTCTCTCTCTCTCTCTCTTCTTGTTTATCTCTACTGTGAAGGAGATGGCGGGGAGGCGGGCCAGCAGGCAGCAGCAGGGAGCGAGGCGAAGTCGTCCTGCCGTCTGCTCGGCACGGCGACCTCTTGAGGCCTGCCCGGATGCCGCCGTGCAGGGCAAGAGCAAGCGGAGCGAGGAGGACGGACGAGTGGAGGAGGAGGGTGGGGAGGAGGAGGGTGGGTGAGGGCGGGGGCGGGGGCGTAGGTCGGGTGAGGTGGGGCGGGGGAGGGAGGAGAAACATGGGGTGGGGGGGTGGAGGAGGGTGCGGGGGGGTAGAGGAGGAGGGAAAGGAGGAGGAGGAGGAGGAGGAGGAAGAGGAAGAGGAGGAGGAGGAAGAGGAGCAGAACGAGGACGGAAAGGAGGAGGAGAAGAGGACAAGGATGGGAAGAGAGGGGTGGGCGGGGTCGGGGGCGGATATCGTGGCAGTGGTCGATGGGGGTTGCAGTCGTCGTCCCGGCGCTCTCGTTGCTGATGTTTCTCCTCCTTCACATCGTTATCCTCCCTCTCCCCTTTCGTATTCCCTCTGTTCCTCTCCTGCTCCTGGCTCCGGCCCATCTTGCCAATTACGCAGGTCGTACGCAGAGGGGGGTATCGGGAGTGGTGGGGTTACGACAATTGCGGCGTGCAGCCAGCTTCGGCCCCGCCGCCGGGCGCTTCCTCGACGCAGCGTCGCCCCTGGCGCTGGGAGACGCCCGAGAAACCGGCTGCGTGAGCTGATTCGCCAACCCCCCCTTCTCATCCCCAGCCAGTCATCCGTTCATCCCGATCGCCTCGTCCGCCCCGGGCTTTTCATTTGGGTGTTCGATCATGGACCCCGTGTTGAACACAACCCGCCGCAGCCAGAAGACCGCCGGAGACAGTCGGAAGCCATCCGCAGACCGCGCAAAGCCGAGTGGGTTTAAGTGGCCCGTGGTCGAATACGCAGCCCATTCCCCTTCCCGCTTCCCCCCCCTTCCCACAGAGGGCGCCGCAAAACACCACCCGAGGCCGGGATGTACGCCATCCGCGCGCGCAGGAAGAGCATCTCGGAGAAGGACCGCGGCCGAGCCCCGGGCGGGCCCGCTCTCAGGGCACCCCCCTTGGCAGGTGCCCGGGGGCGGCGGAGCGGGTCGCTGGCCGACAGAGCGGTGAGTCGGCGGCGCTCACATTCGGGGGTGGACAGACCTCCTACCCTGACACGTCGATTAAGGAATTGGCCGTTTTCGGTTCGCGAGAGGGCGTCGCGGCCGTCATTTTTGCGGGTCCAGGTCCGTCGGTTTCGGTCCCAGGCCGTTTTCACTAAGGGGAGGTCTACTAAAGGGAGGTTTGTCCACCGCCGACACATGTCAGGAGGGGGAAAATCGCACAGACACGACTGATCGTCGACTCCCAGGAAAGTACAAGAAAATATGGGAAGTGGGGGGGGGGGGGGGGGGGGAAACCTCGGGGGGACTCGTGGGATTCGTGTCTGTTTCTCTCTGTGTGTCCCCGGGCCCCTTTTCCCGCGGGGGAGCGGCGCGGGGCGGAGGGCGGCCTCCCAAGGAATCGCGCAGGGACAGTGTCAAGGGTGCAGAGGGGGGGGGTGCAGTCTCGAGGCTCGAGGCTGTCGAGCGCCTTCGTCGGACCTCGGTGGGGGGCGCTCCAGCCGTGGGGTGCTGCTCTCCACAGGCGCTGGGCCTCGGCGAGAGCGCTCCGGGGGTGCAGGGAGCGTCCCGGGTGTGGCTGCCGGGGAGCCGAGCTGGGACCTCTGGAAGCCCAGTGGGGCGTTCCTGAAGGGGCTTTGCCTTGGAGGATCGAGGGAGTCGTCGTCTCTGCCGCGGGCGGAGGGTCGGCGGAGAGGTGGAGCGAGGCCGCCTCCGCCGGCGGAGGCTGGCAGGAGCTCGGCGGGAGGCGGCGGAAGTAAAAGCTGCGCCCCTCTAAGAGGTAGAGCGTTGGTGGCTTCCGGGTGTCCGGAATCGCTCGAGTGGCAACGTTAGAAGGGGATTGGTTCACGGGGGGATGCGTCCACCCACAATCGCCCATTGGGCCCACCCCGTGCCAGAACGTCCGGATTCGCCATCCAACGTCTGTTCCCGACCAGTCGGCGACGTGTCGCCGCTTCCATGTCGATGTCCCCCCTCTGAGTCAGCCCCCCCCCCCGCACAGTCGGGCCGCTGAAGAAGGAACCCTTTTCGTTTGGGAGGGGCTCCGTGTTCTTCAGTTGCTTTACAGCGCTCCTTGGGTTGTCCTGAGGAAATCCATGGAACATCGGAGCTTACCTCAGGGGAAACAGGGGCCTCGTTCCTTATGTATCGTTCCTCAGGTATCGCTCCGGCATCCACCCGCCCCGCCCCCGTCCAGCCCGTTCCCGCCCCCGCCCCGCCCTTCCTTCCGTTATGTCGGGCGTGTCCCCGTGCAGGGGGATTTTCGACGAAAAATATAGAATACCCCAAAAATTCCCCCAAAAGATCAACACATATTTTTAAAAATAGTTCCCAAACTATTTTTGTACAATTTTTTTTCCACGTCTCCCTGCGGTGGGGGGAGGGTAAATATACCCCCGCGTCGCGCGCGCTGCCCCGAGGGCGCTTGTCGGCCGAACGCGAGGCTGGCGCCCTCGGTGCGCGCGTCGCGGGCCGCCGTGGCGGCTTTTGTTTCCGTATGACCGTGTCAGTATGACCGTGTCAATGAGGCCGTGTCAATGCGACCGTGCCTGGGCCGTGTCAATGCGACCGTGCCAATACGACCGTGTCAGTGCGACCGTGTCGATAAAGCCGTGTCAATGCGACCGTGCTATGGCCGTGTCAATGCGACCGTGCCAATACGACCGTGTCAGTGAGACCGGGTCAATAAGGCCGTGTCAATGTGACCGTGCCTGGGCCGTGTCAATGCGACCGTGCCAATACGACCGTGTCAGTGCGACCGTGTCGATAAAGCCGTGTCAATGCGACCGTGCTATGGCCGTGTCAATGCGACCGTGCCAGTATGACCGCGTCAATGTGACCGTGTTGATGCGGCCGTGTCAATGCGACCGTGCCTGGGCCGTGTCGACGCGACCGCGCCAGTAAGATCGCGTCAATGCGACCGCGTCTGTAAGGCCGTGTCAATGCGACCGCGTCTTTTCGATTGCGTCAACGCAACGCGTCAATTACGCCGTGTCGTTGCGACCGTGCCAATTTCTCCGCGTCACTGCGTCCGTGTCTTGTGGGGCGTGTCAAGGGGACCGTGCCGTTGCGACCATGTCAACGCGTCCGTCTCGCCGCGACCGTATCAATGCGAATGTGTAAAAGCGAATGCGTCATTGCGACCGCGTCAGCGCGACCGTGTCAGTGCGACCACGCCAGTATTACCGCGTCAATGCGACCGGTTTCCGCCGCCCAGCATGTTGACATTCGTCAGGAGACGCGCGCAATGATCGTTGTTACGCGACGGAGCCAGCAGTGCGCGCAGGCAGAAGACGCGAGCCGCATACGCCGTTGGGCGCGCCGCGGCCGCACCAGCGATGTGCGCTGCAACGCCCACGCTTTCCATGAGCCTGGCTGATTTTCTTGCGGCCCATGATGATACAAGCCGCGGCGCCGAGTGGCTTCGGCAGTGCGCAGCCCTATGCCAGGCGCCGCGAGCGGCTGCGAATGCCGCCACGACGCGCCAGTGCCTCGCGCGCAGGACAATGAGTTGGAGTCAGTGCGTGATCTTGCGTTTGCAGATCCCGGCGCACTGCAGGGCAACCCGTCCGCGGGTAAGCGCTCCTTCTTAGCCAGAGTGATGGCTGCCGCGAAGTCTCTGACAGCGGAGGAACAGCGCGCGGCTGATCCGGCCAGCGCAGGCAGCGCGGCCGGGAGCGGGTCAGCACCTGAGCCGATGTGCCACGTGGACATTCAGGCGAAGTTGCAAGGAGGCGCTCTGAAGGATGTGGGCCAGGCGTTTTGGCCGCGGTCCGCGGCGGTCGACGCCCTCGAGACGGACGTGAAGCGGCTGCAGCGTCGCGGCATCAAGCGGCCATTTGTGTTCGCTGACCTGAAGAAGTTCTTGCCGTCCTGGGCAGAATCGAAGAGCGCGAAAGAGGAGGCTGATGAGGGCCCGCCCATGTCTCGGGATCTTCGCGACCTTTCGCGCGCGCTCGGCGTAGCGAACCCAGTCAAAGCGAAGTCGCTCACTTTCACGCAATGGCATGCCGCCTTCGACAGGTGCACGCGTCTGCGCGCGGGGCGCGCACCCAAGAGCAACGGCGTCGTCCGAGCGCGTAGGTACGCCATCGCTTGCGTCTGCACGGAGCAGATGACGCTGGCTGCGACGATTCGCCACCGCCAGAACGTCATGAAGGCCCGCCTATCGCCGTTGCTCTGCGGATCCAGCGGCGCGAGTGCGATGCGCGCGCGGCGCGGCAGGTGGCCGCGCAGGCGCCCAATGCTAATCGGAGTGGCGCGCTGGGGCTCGTATACGATGAGATTTGCCGGCGCACTTGGGCAGAGAGGTCTCGCGCCGGTGATGATTCCCTCGACATCGAAACTGTCGTGGCAACGATCGATGTGACTCTCTTGGGCGAGGCAGAGGCCGCGTACGATCGCGAAAGTCAGGAGCGCTCAGCCCCCCGCGGGGGCAAGGGTGCCAAGGGCGGCGGAAAACCCGGCAAGGGCGGCGGCAAGGGCGCCAAGGGCGGCGGCAAGGGCAAGTTCCCGCCTGCGCCCCCGGCGGCGCCGAACGACCGCGGCGAGTACGGGGAGCCGCGGGCCAAGAGAGCCAGGCATCACGAGCGCTGATCAACGTTCCTGCGCCGCGCAGGCGCGGGTCGGTGCGCGCGCGCGCGACGGCGGTAGCCGGACGGCGCGCAGGCGCAGCTGAGAGTCCAGCGGTGACATGTGAAGCGTGCCGCGGACAGGAGGCTGGAAGCGCGGCGCACCTACATGTATGTCGCGCGCGGTGGCGTCGCGCTTGCGCAGGCTACCAATTCGGTGTGGACGCGCGGGGCGCAGCCTACACCGGTTGTTTCACTGGAAGAAGTTGCCGGCGCGGGCGCTCCCGCGGTGGGCGGGGTGCAAGCCCATTTGTCGAAAGGCCCCATCGCGTATCCGTCTTTGCTCCCGCGCGCGCGCGTTAAAAATCTGTCGCGTTGTAGGAGAGCTTGACGCTGGCGACGTGCAGAAGATAGAATTTATCAACTGTGCAATGAAGGACGGATTTCACATCGCGCCATCGCGCGGGATTGAGGAAGACGTTCGCTGCGCCATAGAGTGGGAAGCGTCCAGAGACAGCGTAGAGGTTATGCGTCTGCGCGACAATATGCTATCACGCCTGGAAGCGTGGGGACAAGCGTTACGACGTGACGGGGCCGTCGAGCAATGGTTCGCCGGCGCTGACGACGCGACGCGCGCCGTGTCCGCCGACGTGAATGGGCCGCTTTTAGCTGCTCTGCTCGACATGACGAGCTACGATGACACGGCCGCGGCTGATCTGTTCCGCTACGGCGCGCCTTTGCTCGGAAAGCTGCCCCATGCGGGCAGAGGGCCCGCAAAGAAATTCCCGGAGCCCACGTCGTCCGAGGAGTTGCTGACCTCCTCCCCCGTGCACAATAGAGCCATTTTGTCTTCCTTGCGAGAGGACGTGAACTCGTCTGCGATCCACGAGGGCGCGCTCGCCGATGCGTCTCTGTCGCGGATGACCGCTCCGGTTGTGCTGGCCAAGGCGGACTTGGGCAGGGTGCGTCTGTCCCCGCGTTTCTCCATTGTGCAGGGCGTCAAGCCGGATGGCGCGCCCAAGGTTCGCGTAGTAGACGATGAATCGAGAGGGGGCATCAACTCGGCGTGCCAGCCCGCCGAGAGGTTGTTGCTGGACGGGGCTGACGTTTTGGTGGACGCCCTGCGCTGCTATCACGGTCTGCGCGGGCACGCACCGGCACTGTTTAAGGCTGACATCGACTCCGCTTACCGGCGTGTGCCTATCGCTCCTGAACACAGGCTCGGGATTTCCGGGTGCCCCCCCCCGTTAAAAGCATCGACCTGGGGGCTCGTGTCGGGGTTCCAGAGGAACCCGGCGTTTGCGGTGTCGATGTCGGCCTTGCCACAGGTGGGCAGCTTAC